TCCTTCCCTGTGGACAGGGTTGCCACAGAATTTGGAAAATGAAATTCTCTGACACTTCCCTAATTTCCCTGACACATATTGGTGAAATTTTCCTGACAATGGGAGGAGTGACAAATGATTAAGAAGACATATTTGCAAATACTTTTCAGGTAAAATTTGTAGTCGAAACCTCAAACCCATTTTAGAAAGCCAATAAAGGAGATTTAACAAATCCCTGACATTTTTGTCATTTTCCTTGACATTTCCCGTTTTCCCTGACTATGGCAACCCTGTGTGGACGGATACACATACCTAGAAAATGAATAAAAGTAAAAGTTCCCATCGTTGGTGGAACTCTCGGGTATTTGTTCCTGTTCACAGGACCGACGCGACGTAGGATGTAGACCGTCCGGAAACGGCGTGAAAGCGCGAACCCGAAAAAAGGAAAAAGAAAAGCAGAGGAGCAACGGAACGGACACAATACGCGGAAAACGAGTTATTCGTGTCATGAGTCGCGCCGCGTCCATTTGCAATTCATACCCTCTCGCCCGAGACTAATCGCCTTGCGCGGCAACTCGGCAACTCGGCAACGCTGCACTCCTTAACGCCACGTTGCCAAAATTGACACAAATCTGTGTTTATTAAAAGTTTCGAAAAAGGAGGATCTTGTCTTCCTGAGCCATTACACTTGGTAAAAACGAGACGGTTAAACAGTAGCATGGTCACACTGGGATGAGTGGTAGTAGAACTGTGGTTTTTGGTGTTAGTAATGACCAAAATGGTCATTATTATTATAAAATGGTCAATGTTAATGGTGTTAGTAAGCTTGTCTAGTTTTTTCCATTTTGGGAAATCCTAATGAAATCCTGATTTTTCCTGATTTCTGATTTCATAATATTTCCAAATCCTGATTAAATCCTGATTTTTTGCAGAGAAAAATTTAAATTTCTGCATAAGCGTATGCGATAGCATACAAAAATTCGATCGGACGGCCGATTTTTCTCAAATCTCGATTTTACGACCGATTTTTTCTTAAAATTCTGATGAAATCGGGATTAAATGACATTTTTGTCATTTTCATCATTTTCGTCATTTTCCCTGACATTTCCCCGTTTTCCCTGACTTTTTAAAATTCCCTGACATTTCCCGGTTCTCCCTGACTGTGGCCACCCTGATTTTACGATTGTATCCTAACTCCGCAAAAAGTAGCGTAAATACCCAGATTTTACGCGCCGATCTGGCGCCTTCACACTCGGAGCCACGGCATGTTTCTGTAATTGATTTCGGTTTAATTTATGGGTGAAGTTAATGGACGCGTGCACAGGCGCGCTCGGCAAAACCACCTATCCGCGCGCGGGTCCCGTTGGCGTTGCGCGATTCTTCCTCGGCAAATCCGAGCGGTTCAGCGGCGGCGTTTCCTGGGCTCGCGGCGCGGCGCCGGAGTCCCCGGTTCTCATCACCGGATACTTCGGGGCGGGATTAGAGGGTCGAGACTTCGATGCAAATTCGAATCATGAATTTTGCACATCGGACACTTCCAGTCAAGTGCCCTCCCCACCTCCTTCTCCATCGACCTGCACCTCTCCCATGACACCGCAAGGAAGTGTCCCGGCATGATATCGATGCCCCAAGTGCGAAACCACGTATCTCCGTTTGCGACGTTGCAGACTTGCTGTCATACTTCATATTTTTTATAAAAACTAGTCAACTTAATTTATTGAAAAATTCCTTCCGTTTTCTTTTATTAGTAGGATATTCTAGCAAAATATTTAAAAAAAAATTCAAGCTATAAAGTCAGAGTTGCCACAAAATTTAGAAAATGCAATTTCCTGACATTTCCCAGACACATTTGGGTAAAATGTCCATAAAGCTCTACCTCAAGCACTTGAAAATTGTCTCACGACCTAAGAATCGCCTCACCTTTGCCGCGTTGATTGCGGATCGGGCATTTTTTGCATCTCCAGCCAGGATACACATCGCTCCCATAATATTGGATGACCGGTTCGTCCGACCTCCTCTCTCTCCGTCTTGGATTTTCCTCATTGCACTCGGAATGAATTTCTATTAATTTGGGTTTTAGCCTGAGGAGGACGGGGACTTCCTTCTCCTCGGGAGCAAAGGCGACACGCGGTTCGGATGGGACGTTTCAGATTTTAGGAGAAAGCGCCCGGCGGCCCGGGTCGAGTGCGCCTGCGCGTTCGCTGTTGGTGCGATGGGGGGCAACGATCAAAAGCGAAATTAGATTTACTTATCAACATTATATCACCGAGAGCGCCGCCGGTATGTTTTCGCTTTCACCGCGAGCTCCACCGCACCCGTCGAGCAGATAATAAACTTGAGTCATCCTACGAAGCTCGTCGCTAGGGATTTCCGCTCCAACTTTGGGACTATGAACTGGGGTGCTGATACAAATGGATTACTAGACAAGGTACGAATTTAAGCGATCTGATACATGTTTCTTAACCAAAATTTCACGTAGAACATGTTCTACGTGAAATTTTGGTTAAGAAATACGCTCAAAAAACGCGCAAAAAATACGCTCAACGAAAATTGCCGAAATCAACTCCTTACGAAGATTTTCAATAATTCTCGACGCGTGAATTCAAACCACTCGCTCATGAAAACTCAATGCTCTGCGTGATTCACATCGCGCGGTAAACGTTATCATGACAGACTCTGCGATAAAAAAATCTGGCAACCTCAATTTTGACGCTTTGGCTCAGCTATGGCAAATTGCTTATAGTTTGAACAACACATGGTGGAAAATGAACATTGCTCGACCGAGAAGCTAGCTGAAACCGTTGTAGTGCGCGATTTGACTCACGTAGAGCTTTGAGTTTCTTGTGAGCGGGCAGTTCAAATTCCTCGTAACCAATGTGGAATAAAAACGTTAATATCTTCGTTAGGAGTTGGTTTCAGTCATTTTCGTTGCGCAAATCGTGTTCTACGTGAAATTTCGATAAAGAAGCATGTATCAGAATGCTAAAATTTGTACCTCGCTAGTGGTCCATTGTAACTTTCCCGAGAAAGCCAATGAGCCACTGGTCAGGGTGAGAGATTAAGCACGTGTTTACCCGTCAAAATATCACGCAGAACATGTTGAACAAATCAGCATTTTAAAGTTGACCCGTCTATGAGAAATAAACGTTCTTCATTCACTTTATAAATGGTGCATTGAAACTTTCCGCTGTCGAAAAATACTAATAACATCGTAAGTTTAATTAGCCATTGAAATCCATCTTTACGATGGGAAAACAACTATGGAGCTGGGTTTCACACATATTTCTTTCCTCTCCTGATTATCTTGAACTATGTCGACAAAAAAAAGTTTGTTCCCAGGAAACTTTTCCTGCCGGATAGTATACCAAAACTACTTTAGTACTCGATCTGACTCGAGTAGACTCTGATTATTCTGCTATAGCGGGTAGTGTGAACGGGCCAGTTGTGCTGGGAACAGAATCGTGTTCTGATGCTTGATTCTTATAGATTAGCTAAAACTAAGAGGATCTGTCCAAACAGCAACTTTCTGCGTTGAATATTGACCGAGATATTGTCCTTTGAAAAGTATTTACGAGTAAAGTAAGTGAAGTAAATTACGAGTAAATTCCCAGACTTTAGGGAAAACGGGATTGTAAGTAATAATTTACCGACTTTACGACCCAGCTGAGGGATAAATTAAGGCTATGAACCGCAGTATGTGTTTTGCCACTTCTATTTCCGAAAACACAGGTTCACTTATGATAATGACTCGTGGTTTCTTTAGTTCGTTTTTCCTGTCTTTTCTAGGTTTTCCTGGATTGCGGCACCCTGGCCTCTTGTCAAAGTTTCCCAAATTCTCTTTTCCACAAATTTCTTTAGTATTACTGTAAGTAAAGGACTACACAAAATTAATAATTAGATTTCGATACATTGCTCTCGTTTCGAGTTTCTGCATCCACGAGGAAGCTATAGGACACGACAGCAATTTTCCAGCAGTTTATCGGAGCGTTATCACTTTGATGATAATGTCCGTTGCGCTATCAGCGCTAAACGACCGCCTCTGCTGTGATATCAAAGTCGACACGATGCGATGTGATCTCATTTTGCAAATTGAAAGGTGAATACAATGTTCAAAGAACAAGACAATCTAGAAGTCCATCAAAAATATGACTGATAAACAGTTTACTGATTCGAAACCAAAACGTACATTTAAATAGCATTGAAAAGATACTCTGAATCCTCTTTAGCGTATTATTTTTGTTTCGGTTTCATGTCTTTACGGACATTCCCCAGAGACCCAACGATGCATATTGCCGGTCTTGATTGAAGCCAAAAATTGTTTCTTCCAATACCTTTCAGGTTGATTTTTGAAGTCCCTCAAAAGTTCAGTGCGAAGGCGAAAACTCAAACTCTCTTTTTTCCTCGTTTAAATGATGATATAGTTCATGCTAGTACTTCCGTCAAGAGATTCGCAAAGCTCAAGGGGAAACGAAGAGGGAAAAATAAAAAAAAGGAAAATGAGAACCTCAACCAGTAAGTTGTCAACAGAGCGCCAGCTACCATAAAGTATTCGCGATAACTACCATGATAGTTAAAGTTACAGTAACCATTTGCCTGATAAGGAAGTAAAGCACGGTTCAGACTACATTTTCATAATTTTCTTAATTCGCTTAAGACAGGGTTGCCACAGAATTTAGAAAATGAAATTCCCTGGCATTTCCCTGATTTCCCTGACTTTTGATGAAATTCCTTGACAATTGAAAATGTGACGGATGGCTAAGAAGGCAGAATTGAAAATAGTTTTCGGGCAATATTTCTTGTTCAAAATCTCAAATCCACTCCAGCTAGCAAATTAATGTGATTTACTCACATTTTCCCTGACATTTTCGTCATTTTCCATGACATTCCCCGGTTTTCCTTGACTGTGGCAACCCGGCATAAGACAAAATAATTATACAAGAATTCAAAGGTGGGTGCAGAAGCTCTACAAAATAAAGTTTTTCATGGCTTCAAATAAACGGAGTAGAGTAGAATAGCCGTACCAGTGAAGATCATCATCCGTGACGAAATACTTCATTTCAGCGACGGTGTCTCACTTGAGCATTAAATCCAAAGCTCCGTTCGACGGGGAGTTAATCCAATCGGCCCGAGGAGAGACCCTTCATAACACAATCACTACACAACGTCACTTGCACCACGGAACTTCAAACACAACAACAGGTCGGGGAAAGAACGAAAAAAGAAAGAAACAAAAACGCACTGCAGTCAGGAGTGCAAAACAAAATAAACAAGAGACAACGGTAACGGTACGGAGAGAGAAGTGAAATTTCTCGGCGGGGCTTTCTTTCAAAACACGGCGGAAAACCCGGCTTGCGAGTGAACGACCGCGCGCGCGACCATGGAGTGGAAACTCTCGGAGGCCGACGCCGAGTTGAAGAGCACTGATCAAAACAGTGGAGAGGTCGCTGTCGGTTGCCGTGGAGCCGCCCGTGGTTCTCGCGTGCTCCGCTGGCGCTAGCGTCGCGACGTCCGCCGTCTCGCGTCGCGCCGCGTCGGGGATATTGGCTCCCCGCGGGGGTCGCCGCCGGGGGAGGGGGGCGGGGTAGGCGGGGAGCCGTCCGTAACGCAGCGTAACGCGACAGCGGCTGGAGTCGGCCTGGAGTTGCCGCTTGTTCTGAGAAAATCCGCGGCTATGCTGCCCTCTCAAATAAAAACGCCGTATGAGCCTCTACACGTTGCAAAATTTCCTTCCATAAAACAAAAATATTCATGGAAACTTATGGCTATATGCCAAAGGGAACTATGTGCGTAGGGTTTCCGGGAAACATAGTAGTCCAGGCGCCTGGTAGCTAAAAATGAGGCTACCTGGAATTTTGGGTACACAGCGATTTTTTTGGCTTACTTTATGTTTTTTGGGTCGCTGAATCCGAATCTGAAGTTTCCGCACGCGTATCTGGTGAGCATTTTCCGCTATTTTGAAAAAATGGCCTAAAAAGGCCTTTTTTTGCGGTTTTTTTGATATAGCGGCTACGGATGAGGAAAAGTCCCGGATTTAGCTAATGTTTTGAATAGCTGACAAAATTTGGAAGAAAATGGTATATGAATATGCTAGGTTTGCTCAAAAATTGAGGAACCTCGGATTTCGGAACTTTAGAACGCTTCGGAACTTGGCTGACCGCGGCGAGCCGGATCGCGCGTTGACGGGTGCGCCGCGAAAACGTGAATAGGCGCGATGTTCACGATGCTGTATCTTCCTCAATTTTTAAGCAAACCTAACATATGTATACACCATTTTCTTCCAAATTATGTCAGCTATTCAAAACATTAGCTAAATCCGGGACTTTTCCTCATCCGTAGCCGCTATATCAAAAAAACCGCAAAAAAAGGCCTTTTTAGGCCATTTTTTCAAAATAGCGGAAAATGCTCACCAGATACGCGTGCGGAAACTTCAGATTCGGATTCAGCGACCCAAAAAACATAAAGTAGGCCAAAAAAATCGCTGTGTACCCAAAATTCCAGGTAGACTTACCAGGCGCCTGGACTATAGTTCCTTCTAGCATAAATGCGTCCATTTTCCCGACGACATTCAACAAAATTTCATTCGCACTTTAACCTGTACACGGAGAAAAAAACTTCATGCGTGGGACCCGAAATTTAGGTCATACGGATCTCTGAAGTTTTCGGATTGAGCATCCGAACACTAAGGTCCAGCTGCTGAGGTTTGAATCACACATCTGAAACTTCAGTTCTTACATTTGAAGTACTTCGGTTTTCACGTCTGAAAAACTTCGGTTCTCACATCCGAAAAACTTCGGTCCTCACATCTGAAGTTCTTCTGATGTAAGAACTGAAGTTTCAGATGTGTGGTCCGAACCTTGACAGCTAGACCTAAAGTGTTCAGATGCTCAACCTGAAAACTTCAGAGATCCATACGACCTAAACTTCGGGTCTCACGCACGAGGTGTTTTTCTCCGTGTACCATCTGAAAATTTTCAGAGAAATATATACTTATCTTTCCTTGAAAATGAATCTTTCATGGAGTGCTCATGAGGCGTTTATCTATGGCACGGCAGTATAATGGAAATATGCGGCTGCTAATATTAGGGATACTGCAATTTAAACTAATGATCCTTCAAAAAATATTGCGCGATACAAAGTGGCCACGGCCATGTATACTTCGAATAGGACTTTTCGGACTTTTGCAAGGTTTCATCGGCCGACTTTAAAATAATAAGTCCCTGACTTTTGAGCCAACAAGGGGTGGCACCCTGGCACCATCGTGTTCCTAGAGAAATTAGCTCAACTTGATAAAATTGGTAATACTCGCTTGTACCGTGAATTTTACATTCTTTGCAAAGTGACACTATACTTTCAAAGAAACTTAAAACATGTATACTCATGTAAACATGTATAACTGAGGTGAATTTATTTTTCCGACATATGTAGGCCGTAATGTGAGTCATTACCCGGGACGCGACAATATTTTAAGTTTTTTAAAAGTAGTGATAGTAAAACCTATTCCGGTTCTTTTGAAATTTTTACCTTAAATGATACGAGATGAATTACTTTAAAACCAATTTTGAGTGTTATGCGCTAAAAATAATAATACCTACTTGTATCTGTGTTGTTGCAAAATTGGCAACATGTGTAGCGGTAGTGACGTAAATTTTCACAAACCCCATTTCATCTCTGGACCTCAATGACGTAAGTGAACAAGATATTTTAGATAACACTAATTTTTTTTATTAACGAGATAGATAATATCAATTAAACCTTTTTTTATTATTATAATAAAATTTAAATTTGTAATCCCCTAATAGCTAGTCATTAGAAATGAGAGAATTAGTAGATATTGATTCCTTTTCAGATGCGTACTGCCGAGAGCCTAGGAATGGTTCCGAAATTCACGATTTCAGTGAAAAGTGGCACCGGGCGGCTAGGATTGTGCGCCCCTCCGCCGAATTTTCCGGGCGAGTTCACGGGCGGTCAGGTGGTCGATGGTGTTTGGAACTGGGGTTATTGCCGGCTGGCACGATATTCCGGGTGAGTAGTGAGTGCTTACTTATCTTGCTACCGAGCATGCAATTCAGGGGATTCCTCGTAAGTTGTAAGTTGTAAGCGATAAATCCCATCGCAGCGCTCGGCCATCCTTTACGGCCAATCTCCGGCCACGGTCGCCTCGCTGTTGCCCGGAAAAACTCACACGGAGAGGCAATACAGGGTGATTCAGGATTAAAAACCGATTCATCAGGATAAGCTTATTATCTGAGCACACGAGAGGCTTGAATGCATGAATATACGGCCGTGCAACGCAAAAACGCCGTAAACGCCATTTTACATTTTTTGGGAACAATGTATCATAGTAGAAAATCTTGTGTACCTTGGGACAATGTTTTTTATAGAATTCTTTCGGAAATACTATCAAGAACATAACCTGAAAATTTCGGTGAAGTATTCCTACAGTCTTGTGTGCGCTATGCGTTTCACGCCGACCGCTTCTGCACGGACTAAGTTTGACGTAATGCGCGAAGTATACATGCATTCTTGTAGGCGCTATGCGTTTCACGCCGCGCCCGCTGCTGACCGCACTATCTTTGACGCAATGCGTGAAGTATTCATGCAGTCTTGTAGGCGCTAATATGTGTTACATGCCGACCGCCACGCCGTGGGTTTTTCCTGTTCATCTCAAGTTCTCGTCATCATTGCACTCTCCGCCGCGCCGTTCCGGGCCAAATTCCGTGTTCGGTTTCTCTCTTAGTCTTAACTCGACTAATTAAAGGTGCTGTCTATTGTATCACAGGAAGATGACAAAATTAGAGATATACTCTCGGGAAATGAGAGATTTTGTCACCACTTTTCGTTTGTAATTTTTTCTCGGAGTCCTATTTTTCTTTATAGCTATAATTAAAAAAAATTGCAAAATTTTCGACTCCTAAATTTGCCACCATGGGATACGGCCCATGTGGCCATCTCCTAAATCCGGTCCTGCCTATAGACAAAGAAGATAAAACGGATACGGAGGGATCCTGTTGGAGGAAGCGGGTGGTTGCAATGGACATAGGAGGCAGGCAATTGCAATAGACTAACTAACGCTAGCCCACGAGAGACCTTATAGTTAGTCCATCATTCACCTCCTTAGTCTATAAGAGCCATCCATTTCAACCAATAGGATTGCTCCATACTCGTTATATCTTCTTCGTGTATAGCTCTGCCTGTCAATTTGAAAAATCAGCCCGCTGAAATCTCTACGGTTTTTTTTTTTATTTTTTTGGACGCGCAGTACTTTTGTCACTTCCAATGTAATAAACCCTCATTACACAAATAAGTAATCTCCTCATTGCGTGTCTATCACTCAGTCGAGTTCGCCTTCAATTTCCGTGATGGCAAAATGCGCGACTTGGAAGCACGAATAGTTGCGCGCAGGAGTTTTCTCAATTTTTCTCTGCAGCGGGACTTCTAACTTCACAACGCCAAAACTCCGGTAATGTAACATTGAGGTAGTGGGGGGAGGGTCGAGGGAGGTTAATAATCCCAAAATTTTCGTAAAATCCTCTATGCTCTGAAATCAATAGCGTATTTTGAGTTCCTACGGGCTAAGATCTTCCTCCCTGTGGTCGGTAACACATACCTAGAAAATAAATAAGAGTAAAAGTTGAATCGTTGAAATTCAATGATCAGCCCGAGTATGTTCAAATGTACGTCCTATAGATTGATCGACAATCGAATCTTTGCTGGGGATCCATGAGGTTGCTGAAGCTTTTTGAGCTCGCACTGCAAGTGCACCGCTAGTGCGAAAGTTCAGGGCTCAACTCGATGAGGAAAAGGATGGAGTCGTGGGGGGAGGGGGGTCGCGGGGAGGGCGTTGATTCGTTTATCGAGGGAGCTGGAAACCACTCAAGTGTGTCTCGAGCGGCATCAAGTGACAACAGAAGCTGAAGCAATCGTCGCTTTCGGCTTATCACTCATCTCTTCATCGCCCCAACGCCCGGTGGCGTGGCGTCAAGGATCGATTATCGATATTTCCCCGTTTGAAGCTGTAGTAAAGAATCGATTATCAAGGTGTTCGTTGCGAACACCTTGATAATCGATCCTTTTCCATAGATTTAAATGGCAGATCAATCGATATATCGCAAAGCACACCACGCCACTGCGCTCGCCTCATCGTCAGCGTCCCGGCTCCTTCAGTTCACCCTGTGCCCTGTGCCCCTGCCAGCTCTGCCGTGCTAAGGAAAAACGCCGTATGAACATTCGAATGTTGCCAAATTGCCTCTCAGAAAATATTTTTTTTGCAGAACTTCATGAATATTTTTCCTTGAAATTTTCAAACACTTTAGATTCAATTATGAACGAAATCCTCCGAAAAATTCGCAGAAAAATGTTTACAAATTTCTCCAAAAAATCGTGATTTATCGAGGGAGATTAGGCGATGCCGGGAGGCTA